GACGAGCTGCTCGTGGTACGTGGCTAGTATTGCCTCAATCTGGAGAGGCTGCATACCTGCCGTGATGGTGTGCCAGAGGTGCTTGTCGAAGATCTCACGGATCTGCTTCTCAGTGAAGCCCAAATTAATATATGCATCACCATAATTGAGAATCGTTGCCTCTTGCTCTTGATTTGTTAATGGATGCGTTGTTGGCAGTAGTGGAGCCATGAGTGTGAGGAGGGTGGAGGCAGTCTGCGCATCTGACTCTCCGGCGTAAAAGCTAACGAGTTTCAGTAGAAGTTCACGAAGCGTGAATGGCTTGCCCTTTTCTAGATCCATCTTTGGATCATCACAGAGTGAGTACACTTCCTCGTCATCAACAGTGGAGGCAGGGGGAGATGTGTGGGTAGTGACGCCGTTCGGCCTCGGGTCTTGAGCATCTACGCTGAAGCCGTTGTTGGCATCAGATTCGATTTCATCGCCAGCCATTGCCTTTCCAATGTCGAAGTGCCCGTCCCGAGGTCCGCGCAAGTACGCTTCATCTTCCCCTATCAAAGCCTTCCGAGCTATGCTAGTAGCCTCGATAGCAGCAGGTGAAATCCTAATGATCCGACTAGGTCGTTCCGTGACAAGCTCAGACGGCTTTTCGTCGACGAAAGAAGCTGGCCCTGACGAGCCTCTCGAGTCTGTCGATGCAGCAAGGAATGTGAAGCTCTCGTCGCTGTCGTGTTTCACCAGCTTCGGTGGGTTATTGACATACTTCGGATGAGTAGGTTGGGGCTTTGAAGGCCGTTCTGCAGAGACGCTCCATCTGCGGACCGTGTCGATCCTGTCGTTATTGATGTCCTTACTCTGCTTATCAAAATCACTCAGATTGACAGCAGTCAATTTCCGTACTGGCACTGGACGCGGCATCGATGCCTGCTGATGTAGCGACGGCGGAAGTGTGAGCTGCTCGTCCTTGTCAGGATCCGGAAGTCGCATTGCTTCATGACGATTTGAGCCTTTCCCGTTCGTGGCAACAGGCTTTGCAAGCGGGGTGGCCATGCTAGATGTGCTTTCGTGTAATATGAGGTGATGTGTTGTCGAGGTCGGTTTCAAAGATGCTGGCGTTTGTATTGGCGATTTCTTCTGATGCACAAGTACTTTCATAGCCACGTCGTCTAATGAGAGCCTCTTTATGTCAGGATATGAAAGTCGGACGCCTTTCTGGAGCAGTGCGCTTTGATGTTGCATGCGCGACTTGAGGTGCATCAACGTCCAGTATGAGGTGAGCTTCCAACTCTGTGACATCTGATATAGACCGATCGCATAAGCCTGACGCACATTGTTCGCAAAATGAGCTTCAACTGTGCTCAGGAAAGCTTCATCAACGGCAGATCTCAAATCCAACTTCATTGTGTATTGACCCGCGAGGTGCCTGTAGTTATGAACGTCCACGGAATATGGTGCTTGGCCCTCTATCGCTACCTGACTGGGAACGGAGGCACGACTGTTCTTCATGATTCGGTCAAGTAGCGTGATGGGCCTGGTGGGAGATGCAGCATCGAATGTGGAGCCAGTATTGCCTATCTTCATGTCATTCGCGACTTTGCTCGAACGACGACTAGGCTGGACTGTGAGAAAAGAATGGTCGAGCGTGTCATCTGCCCAACTACGACTCAAAAAGCTGGTATCTGGGCTGACGCTAAAGCTTTGAGCAGGCCAAGATAACGCTGTCTGCGTTCCTGGCTGCGGGAGCTCTGGTACTCGTCGCTGCTTTCGCTTCTGAGCAATGAAGCTAACATCGCCTTTGACAGATGTTGCAATGCTTTGCAGGTTCCTCTTGTTGATGACCTTTGGTGCGTGCTGGATATCAGCCTGCAGAAAAATACCCTCACGACCCACTGTCCACAAAAGATCTTGAGAGTGCCACAGCAGATCCGTCGGCCCAGTAGAGTATGGGCACATCTCACGAAAAGGCAAAGAGGGTCGGCGAAGGTCCCATATGTGTATCACGGGATGCTCTCGATCGTAAGCAGTGAGAAGCTGCGTACACTGCCTAGCGCCACTGCTATCTGGGCTGGATTCGCATGGGGGTCGCCAACGGGCATTCATCACAGAGTACGGCGTCCTGATCTCGTATGCTGCTTTTTGTCGACCGTTCTGGGCTATGTTCCACACCTTCACACTTTTGTCTGTGCTACCACTTGTGGCATGCCGACCATCTGGATGCCAGTCGACTGTATTGCATGGCGAGACGTGAGCCGCGATCTTGACTTTGGCTGATCTGGTCATGCGAAAATCCCAGCACTGTATGTATCCGCCGTCGGTACCGAATGCGAAATCGAAAACGTCTGTTGGAGACCATTTCACGTCTCTCACACCGTCGCTTTGACCCGAGTATTTGTCTTTGCTCTGCAGTGACTTGGCTTGATGCCGCGCGTCACGTATATCCCAGAGCCGTACTGTGCCGTCTTGGCTGCCAGAGAGTAACAAATTGCCAGAGTGTGGGTTGAAAGTCACTCTGTGCACCTGCCGTTGATGCTCATGCAATTGCACACCGGGATCCATAGCGCGACCGAGATTGTACAAGATGATCTTGCCGCTCTCTGTCGCGGCCGCCACATAGTCGCCGCTATCTCTCTTCGCCCAGGCGACATCCGCAATGTCTACCGAGAAGATCTGGCGTGGCTGGCCAGAAGCTTGCCGGGGGTTGCTCAGCAGTTGAGTGCGGATGTTGAGTTCTTCAGTACAGGTCCCATTCTCAACTTTGATGGTCTTGAAGATCTGCTTGCCTCCAAGCACGGCATGGGTACCACTGTCATTTATGGAAATCGTCTTGATCTCCAAGCCGGTTTTATGGCTTGCCGTGGCATTCTGGGTGGCGCCAAGGCTGGCATAACGGCCGCCTGCAACGCTGCGGGCGTGGTCATCCTGTTCGGGACTTTGTGGTCGCGATTGGTAGCCGAAGACTCTGTAAGCGGCATCTCTGGCGCGTTGAAGCGGTCGGGGCACAGGCAGAGGCGGCGCACTGGGTATTGACGTTTGAGAAGAGGCCGTAGTCTCCCTCCGCTCATGGCTCATGGTGGAGCTGTTATCTTGCTCGGCTTCATGTCGGCCAGCTTGGGGGGTTGTGACATGCTATGAGCGTCTCGGACACATCTCAACACCCTATCATCAAGTCGTCAGTGATGTGCTTCTATCGTTCAAGGCGTGATGGAGTTATGGGCCATAAGGTATTGATACACATCAGTCGCCTTGGCGGGATCACCCGCTAGCGCCACGCGAAAACGACACGTCCTTTGTCATCCATCTTTTCCATCGCACAGTACGACGTCAGCAATGGCAAGCATTGTCCGCTCCAGCTCAATGACGAGAGGCTGCATAGCTTTCTCACCAAGTCAAACCACCCTGGGACATGTGGGAAGTACCATAAGGTGACTATGCACCCGAGGTCAATTGGAGGACACATGCATGACGTATTCAGACATAAGAGCTTCATGTCCAATTTTATGCAAATGGAGTGTATCGTCTTGATAGCAATGAAGAGATATCTTCACAGCCCCGAGCAAGCGATCAATTCTCTGTATTATTAATAGATCGATTTACCCTTTATGCTCTCATCCCTCCGCGTGACAGCAACCAAACGCCTCGCACCGCTCACTTCCCAGCTCCGCCTAGCGAGCACCATGGCAACAGGCACAATGAAGGAAGCCAAAGTCAACAAAGGCACCACAGTCGAAATCGTCGACTCCCCCATCCCGACCCCAGGGCCTACCCAAATCCTAACTAAAGTAGTCTACTCTGGCTGCAACCCCAAGGACTGGTAAGTATGCCCAACTCCCTCAAGCAGCCCACACTAACTCAGCATCCCAATCCCAGGAAAAGGGCCGAAACCTTCCCAGATAAACATCCTTTCAATCAAGGCGACGACATCTCCGGTATCGTGCACGCTGTCGGCTCCGCCGTGTCCGAATTCAAGCCCCGCGACCGCGTAATAGCCTTCCACGAGATGATGTCCCACGGCGGCTCATGGGCCGAATATGCCCTCAGCGACGCCCACGCCACCACCTACCTCCCCCGCAACATCACCTTCGAAGAGGGCGCAGCAATTCCCCTCGCCTCTTTAACGGCAGCAGTCGGCCTCTACGCCCGCCTAGGCCTCCCGGCGCCTTGGACCCCTGTCAAGGATGACGTGAGGATTCCGCTGGTCGTGTACGGAGCTAGTAGCGCAGTAGGCAGCTACGCCATCCAATTCGCGCAGAAAAGCAATATCCATCCCATCATCTGCGTCGCAGGCCGAGCCCGGAACCACGTTCAACGCCTCATCAGCCCGGAAAAAGGCGACGCGATCATCGACTACCGCGACGGCGACGAAGCAGTTGTCCAAGGGATCCGAGACGCACTGAAGGGAGAGAAACTAGAATATGCCTACGATGCCGTCTCCGAGAAGAACAGCTACATTAACATTGGCAAGGTTCTCGATCCGAACACGGGGCGCATCACGAACGTGCTGCCGGGGAAGAAGTACGAGGGGATGCCGGAGGGCATCACCAAGACGCTCACGACTGTGGGATCGGTACATGGTGTTCCAGATGATCTAAAGGAGTTCGGGTATGTCTACTTTAGGTATATAAGTAAGGGATTAGAAGAGGGCTGGTTCAAAGCGCAGACGCCTGAGGTCGTGCCGGGAGGGCTAGCGGGGATAGAAAAGGGTTTGAACAAGCTCAAAGATGGGTCCGTTTCAGCCGTCAAATATGTTTATAGGATCGCGGATACGCCTGGGTTATGTCAGTAGCATGAGTGGAATTACGAGACGCTGGAGAGGGCCGAACGACGAACATTTTTATATCTTCCACAACTTCAGCCAAACGTCAGTCTTCACTTACAGACGGACAGACTCAACTCATTCGCGCACGCAGAGACACAAATCAACCAGGAGAGCCGAAGACGGAGCGGAGCGACAAGTAGCCGCCGACAGTCTACACATTGATGAAACAGAATATGTAAGAATTTCTGCGGGCGGAGACAGAACAGCATTGGTGGTTTAGTGGTAAAATTGGCCGTTGCCATGGTGGAGCCCTCCTCCCGGGTTCCCCTCCTGTCTCGGCCAGCCCCGGGTTCGATTCCCGGCCGATGCATTCCTTTGACGGAAACGACGAGGAGGTCGATGTGTTTTGCACCTCGGAGAGGTGTAGGAAGCGTGGTGTTGGCGGCGGAGGCGTGTGAACTTTTTTGCCCCCCTCTTTTCTGACCCCGCACGAGCCATGCCCCAAAAACTCCACCACACTCTCTACTTTGATCCACTCTCCGGTTTGAGATCAACCGGGACGAGCGACAGAACGATGGAGCCTCTGCATCCGGAGAGTTTTGCATTCAGGCTGTTTGCTACAGACGCCAGCGCTGCGACAGGTGGAGATGCGGCCATAAATGGCTGATATGTGTGCAAATGTCTGCAATCAAGAAGAGAGATATGCTCCTCACTTCTACTGGATTGCATCTGAACAGGTAATTATGATAAGATTTTTCAATTCACTTATCATCATCGCCCGCCTCTTGGTTGGCGTCAATGCCTTCTCAGTCCATCATAATGCTAGACAGAGCTCACCCAATCTGCAGAACAAGAGCCTGGTGACTTGGGACGAACACTCGTTCATGATCAGAGGAGAAAGGCTGTTCCTATTCTCGGGCGAATTTCATCCCTTCAGGCTTCCGGTCCCAGGCCTCTGGCTCGATGTCTTTCTGAAGATCAAGGCGATGGGGTTCAACGGCGTCTCGTTCTATACAGACTGGGCACTATTGGAGGGTGAAGAGGGCAATCTAGTCACCGACGGTACTTGGAGCTTGGATGACTTTGCAGGGGCAGCGGAAGCTGGAATATATCTGATTGCCCGATCTGGGCCATACATCAATGCTGAAACGGCGGCTGGAGGTATGCCAGGATGGACCCTAAGACTCAATGAGACACTCCGCTCTGATGCCGCGGCCTACACTAACGCAACGAGACTCTACCTGTCGACCGTTGGACGGATCATTGCCAAAGCTCAAATCACCAATGGTGGACCTGTGATCATGGTGCAACCAGAGAACGAATACAGTACTTGGCCAAATCTGAACTCGACGCAGTTCCCGGCACAGTTTAATCGAGATTACATGGCTTTCGTAGAACAGCAACTTCGCGATGCAGGCATCGTAGTGCCGTTCATCAGCAATGACAACGGAGCGCTTGGGTATTGGGCACCAGGAATCCATGAGGTACGATTGTGCTCATCCTGATATCTGGTCCACCTACCGCTTTCCACGAGATTGGGAAACCTTGCATCGGAATACATCTCCTAGCACGCCGTTCGTCATTGCCGAGTTTCAAGGAGGCAGTGGGACTGGATGGGGCCCTGATAGTGTCAACCAGGATGGCTGTAATGCGCTGGTAAACGAGGAGTCCGTTCGTGTTCTGTTCAAGAACAATTACAGCTTTGGCGTCAGGCTATTGAATATCTATATGACTTATGGCGGCACAAACTGGGGTAATCTAGGCTACGAAGGTGGCGACAGCAGTTACGACTACGGTGCCGCGATTACTGAAGACCGCCACGTCTGGCGGGAGAAGTATAGCGAGCAGAAACTGGAAGCGAATTTCCTTAGAGTCTCGCCTGCATATCTGACGGCCTTGCCAGGAAAGGCACAGAACGATTCCGCATATGTGCGGGACACGGGTATTGCCACAACACCTCTCTTTGGAACCAACGATCCACCTACGAGGTTCTACGTGGTTAGACATGCAGGTTTTACATCGTTGGCCAATACGACATACACGCTGAATGTTCATACGAGCCAAGGTAAGATTTCAATTCCGCAACTAGGTGGTCGTTTGAGCTTGAATGGCAGAGACTCTAAACTACATGTCACGGATTATGATGTTGGAGGCATCAACCTCGTCTATAGCACTGCCGAGATCTTCACTTGGGCCCAGGATCGATATGGGCATAGAAAGCTGATCTTGTACGGAGGTGCTGGCGAGACGCACGAGTTTGCCGTTCCCGTGTCCGCTGGCTGGCCTGGTCCTCGTGGTACTGGCAGTACTGGGTTGCACATTGAAGCAATCGGACCAATCTGGGTCGTCAAATGGCATGCGCAGCCAGCACGACAAATTGTGCGGTTTGGTGGCCTCGAAGTGCAGCTTCTTTGGAGAGACGATGCATATCAATACTGGGTGCTTGAGCTGCCAGCGCCCTCTCCCATTGGCAACTACTCGTCTCCGGGAAAAGAGACGGTCATTCTCAGGGGCGGCTATTTGCTGCGCACTGCGGCTCTGCATGGGTCGAGTCTCGAGCTGACTGGTGACCTGAATACTACGACTGAGATAACAGTCCAGCACGAGCCTACGGGCAGGGTCCAGAGTATCGTGTTCAACGGCGAACGCTTGAACACAACATGGGATGCTGAAGGCAAATTGACTGCAACGATAAAGTACCATGCTCCAGAGTTCGGTTTGCCTGATCTGAACGGCGGTCATTGGAAGTACATTGACTCATTGCCTGAAATATCACCTACCTATAATGACTCCGATTGGATCGATTGCGACCTTGACAAGACAACGAACGACCAGCTAGGCCTCAAAACGCCAACTTCCTTATACGCAAGTGACTATGGTTACCACACAGGATCTCTACTCTACCGCGGCCACTTCCTATCTTCCGGCGACGAACACTCCCTCTTCCGAAACATCTCTGGAGGCAGCGCACATGGCTTTTCAGTCTGGCTCAACTCCTCCTTCTTAGGGTCGTGGGCCGGCAATGTCAACAACCAGACATCCTCCACGACCTTTGACCTGCCGACGAATCTTCCCAAAAGTTCTGAATACGTCTTCACCGTCCTCATCGACCACATGGGCCAGAATGAAGAAGCGCCTGGCACTGACGTCGTGAAGTTTCCGTTTGGTGTCCTCGACTACTCACTCGACGGCCGTGAACAGGCTGATGTGGCCTTGAAGCTGACTGGTAACCTCGGCGGCGAGCACTATCGCGACCCTCGGCTTCGGTTCTGCGACCGGTGGATTCTGCGACCTAGCGCTTTATGAAATGGCGTTCGCAACCGAGCTTATTGTAGCCACCGGCGTGTGTTTCTTCGGTGCCCCAGTGCTGGGTTGGTATCTGTTGGCTGCGAATGTGAGACGTTTCCAGAGGAGCTACTGAAGGAATATTCGCTGACGTTGGTATTCTCTAGATGTTTGAGATCCAGGAGCTGCCGATCCCGGAGCTGCTGGTTTTTGGTTTGAGTGAAAAGATTAAGGCGAGGAGTTTGGTGAGGCAGGCGAGGGCGGAGAAGAAGGCAAGGATGCGAAGATGGCGATCATGGAGTGTTGTGGCGGGTAGATGGGGGTTTTCTGCCAAGAAATGTTACGGAACCATACGGTCTTCTCGTGCAACCAATATCAATGGTGTGTCAATCAGGTGTTTTCAGTAATTTGATCATCAACACTGGATGGTTCTCTTGATATTATCGTCGAAAGGTGACGGACGACAATCTATCCTCAAACATTAGTCTGACTGGAGAGCTTGCCTAGCTTGGTTGAATGGGGACTGCCGCCAAGCGTTATTCCACGACAATGCCATGGGGAGCCCCATGACAGCGATCCATGACTGTTAAGCAAAGACGGAACGATTTTGCAAGTCTCCGAGTTGGCGTCCGTAAAACGTGACCATCCCACAAACTCTCCGAGGCTGTGAACAATGTCTCCTGAAATCTGTGTCATTTTCCTCCCGACGGTGTCGCACTGCAGTCATCCATCTCGCCAAATGCAAATTGCCCACCAACAACGACTCCTAAATGACAGCCTCCCAAACACCACCATGCCATCCAAACGATGGCCAACACATCACCGGCCCACTCAAACGCCCCCACACCGCTCGGCGCCCTTGTTACCACCAAAGGCCCGGACTGGAACACACGTCATAAACAGAGCGAACGCACTCAGGCAGTTTCCCAGGATGTGGAGGTTTGGAGGGGGGAGGCGGAGGCGGAGGCGGATATGCAGTGCCGCATACCGCTGCTTTGACCAGGGATCTACGTGAGAAGCAGATGCATGATTTTATGCTGGAAGAGACGGGGAGATTGGCGCCGAAAGTGCCAGAGGTGCTGAAAAGGCGGGTTATTGTTGGAGTGAAGAGGAAGTGCGGGCGTAGCGAGTCACTCATTCAGTCATCAGCACCCACAGCTCTCATCAAAGCCCCAGGCGCCCAAGCCGCAATCTCCGCCCTCCAGCCCTCGACCTCCCTTTCAGCAACACACCTCGGCAGCCTGAAACTCGCGCAGAACATCCTCTTCTTGGGCGCCACATCCCTCACATCATGTATCGCCACGCCACCATCCTCGATGTCACCAGGTTTCATTTCGCAGTCTAGGAGCTTGCTGATGACGTCGCAGATCTTTTGGGATTCGAGGACGTTGTCGTCGGATTTCGTGCTGAAGCAGTAGGTGTGGAGTATAGGTAAGGGATAGTTGGGCGGGAGGGTCTGGCGGATGGTCGGGGTGTATAGGCCGATGAAGGAGGGCAGGAATGTGATGGCTGTGGCGGGGAGGTTCATGACGAAGTGGTTGAAGGTCTTGGGTTGGGTGATGGTGCGGACGAGCTGCGGTTTCGCGGAGGGGTCTTTTTTGGAGGGTTTGGTCGTGATGTGGACATTATGCGCTGTCTTCACGAGCTTGGCGGTCGCGGTCCTGATGAAGGTCCTGCCGTCCTCGTTTGATGGACGGACGTAGTCGGAGACTTTGTTCCGCTTGATGGCATCTTCAAGACTCGTGTAGCTGTCTGGGTTTAGATCGTTGGCCCAGACGAAGACCCCTTTCTTGCCAGCAGGCACGGCGAAAGGACCTATGCCGGCCATGACATCGCAGACGACCGATCCCGGCTCGAACATATTGACGAGTCTTCGATGCTCGGTGTTCAATTTGCTGTTCCAGTATACTTTGCTGTAGTCGAACTTGAAGGTGCAGTCCTCCTCGCTGACTGTGACATTCATGTCGTCTGGGCCCGCCAAGACTTCATACTTGAACGTGCGGAACTCGTCCGCCTCGCCGACATCGTCGATCTTGTTGATGACAGTCTTCATGCCTTTGTTCTTGTCAAGGAGTATCTCGGCAA